TTTTTTTGAGATCTCACTCTGTTGCCCAGGTTAGAGTGTGGTGGCACGATCATAGCTCACTGCAGCTTCGAAGTCCCGGGCTCAAGGGATCCTCCCGAGTAGCTGGGACTACAGGCGCATATGTACTACCACGCCCACCTACTTTGTAAATTTTTGTTTGTTTTGGAGAGACAGGGTCTTGCTCTGGTGCTCAGGCTGGTCTTGAACTCTTGGCCTCAAGCAATCCTCCCGCCTTGGCCTCCCAAAGTGCTGGGATTATAGGCATGAGCCACCATACTAACCTGATTTGTATTTATTAAAATGAATGTTCTGTGCTGTAGATTAATTAGATACAAAAGGTAGGCTGCCCACATAAATGGTTGTATTAGTCAAGGCTGATAGAAGGTATTAGAAAGCAATTTTGAGCTGGCTGTGGCAGAGGATTACAGACTTTATTGGGGGAGCATCAAGGGAAGAACTGCATTTACCACCAGCTCTAAGCATCTTAAAGGATAGTGTGAGGCTTCAGCTCCTTCTCTCTATGCCTCTGTAAGGCATCTCTGTGTGGCAGGGACTAGGGCCGGAGATATCTGTTTTTTCTCCTTGTTATTTATTTGCTAAATCAATCAAGTCATTAGTTTGGATCACACTGATTGCATCCCCATGGTGGTGTTTAACATGTTTTTGTATCCCCTCTATTTCTTGTGAACTGGTAGTTTACACCATTACTTTTTTCAACTTTATATTTAGGAAAATATCAGTATTCATTCATAAAATTTAGTAATGACAGGAAAAACATACATAGAGAAGGTATAGATCACCTCCAGTTTTATTTAACAAAATATAGCCACTGTCAGCAACTGATTTGACCACGGATCTCCTCTTACTTTTTTGTTGTTGTTTTAATACCTACTAATATCTCATTGGTCTTAAGAATATACTTGGGAACTCTTCCCTAGTGTTTAAGAGTAAGATTATTATACCAGTTCTTAAAAGATCCTTGTAAGGAGAGAATTGCCACTAAATCTTTTCGTAATTTGAAATTAAGATTCACTGTTTTATACTTTGTAGACCTTAGCACTAAATACTTTCCTATATTTTAAATATTAAAAAGTACAAATAGCACAATAGTAATTACTAATAACTGGAGTGTTTTCTAGCCTATATACGCGAAGTGTTTGATAAGTGAGTGATGAATGAATACACGGAGCATGTGGGGATCAGTAGAATTAGAACACATTTCCTTAGGTTTGTACTCAAAAGTACATGCATTGAAAAGGTTTTTTTCATTATTTCTTTGTTTTTCCTAAATTACCTTTAACATTTTGATTAGAACAGGTTAACATTTTATCAGAAAATTTATGAAAGTGAAAAATTTTCATATCCTTTCTCTTTGATTTTAATGGTTTCACTTTTTGTTTTTCAATAATCAACAGGATCCCTGTCAAAGTTTGCCTTACCTGGGAAATCAGAAGTGACATCTTCCTTCAACACGAGTAATACAAATATCTTCCAGAACTATGCAATGGAGGTACAATTTTATTCAAAAGAAAACCTTCATGTACTGCTTTATAAAATTTACATTTCTTAGGTATTGATAGTCCCACGTACAGTAATAAAAGTTAAATATATAGCATCTAAAATTTCAGAATGTGTATTGCATCTGAATAAAGTTAAAATCCAGCTTTTGGGTATCCTGTAGTTCAGATTATAGGATAGTTCCATGCTGACTTTGAGATTTATCAACTGCAGAAGCATTTTCATTTTCAATATTTGTATTTATTCTTTGTTATGTGTATGTTCTCTTTGAATGTTTATTTCACATCATAAACAATCAATTTTGCTATGCAAGCATACTTTTTTAGGTGAGGGTACAGGAAGTAGTTTTGGCATTATGTTGTCAACTTCTTCCGTCGTATTTTTCATTCTTTGTGTCAGTTTGATGTAGATCTCTGTTGGGTGTGCTCCTACATCCCACTTTCTTACAGTGAAAAAGTTACTCTTTTACACTTTAAAATTTTTCCGTAGTTTTTCTGTAAAAATTATTTCCAGATACATTTGTGAGTATGGTTGCTATTTTATGCTAATTTGCATAAATCTGGAAAATAAATTTGTATACAGCTAGAAAATAGATGAGCACTAATGTTACAGTTTACATATTTTCTGGTGGCTTCAGGAATTTCTATATTTTGTTAATGTGATGAGAGCATTTACACTTATGTATAACAATGCTTCTTAAACTGTCTATAGTGACAGACCAGGGTTATTTGTTTGTTTAATTTCTAGTGTGTCATAGCTGATACTCTTATAAAATACATTGATTACACACTTAGATGTTACAGCAATATCAAATTACTTTAAAAGTTTATAAATCCTACTCTCAATTTCTTTACTTATCCCATCACAAGCCAGTATTTGAAGACCAGCACTAGTCTGGCAACCATACTTGAGTAGCACTGATTTCTAGTATGTGATTACAAATACCTGTTTTGAGTATTTAAAAATGATAGTTTACTTTTCCATTAATAAAAGCACAGCAAATATTATTGTAATAATAATGGGGAAAAATGCTCACTTAAATGCTAGTTTCCCTTTCAGGCAAAAATTTTGGAATAGATTTAGCTGAAATAGTTAACGATGAGTGTAATATGTAATGCACTGAATGTAATCCAGTTTTGTTTGTAACATCTGAATCTTTCTGAGTTGTAATTTTCCGATAGATTTATGAATTGAAACGGCTTTCAATTCATAATATGTATTAACTAGCTTGCTTTATAAAGTGCTGTCTTCTCCCATAGGTTCTCATCTCAAGTTGCTCTCGGTGTAGAACTTGTGATTGTCTCGTCCATGATGAGGAAATCATGGCTGGCTGGACAGCAGATGATTCAAATCTCAATACTACATGCCCATTCTGTGGCAATCTTTTCTTGCCCTTTCTGAATATCGAAATAAGAGACTTAAGACGACCTGGGAGGTAATACGGTGGGGTTTTTTTCTGAATGTTTAAACATCATGTTTCCTAGAATATCTCTTTTCTCAAAAAGCTCCTTTGATTCACATTACAGATACTTTTTGAAGTCAAGCCCATCTACAGAAAATACGCACTTTCCATCCTTTTCAAGTCAGACAAGGCCGTCTTGCATTTCAACATCAATCTCTGGTCTTGACACATCTGCTATCTCTGTTCAAGGGAATTTTGATCTAAATAGGTAATTATGATTATGTGGAACTATATTTTAACAACATATGTTATGTGTTTTAGAAGTATGACAGAAAAATTAGCTGACCGTTTCAAAGTTTAAATTTCTATGAATAATAGATTCATAATCTTAAGTTGTTACTCCTAATTAAAGCAATATTAAAATTCTCCAGTAACCCGAATGTTTATGAACAGTTATATGTTATGCTTTATTAATCCCCACAGTTTAAGCTGTGTGTGTGTGTGTGTGTATATATATATATATATGATAATGTTTACTACTGTTTTAAAGGTAAAAAAATCTATAGTACCCTTGAAGTTTATAATGACCATCTTTTTCCTACATCCATCTCTTCAGGAATTAAGGCAATACTAACATCTACTTTGGAATATTTAATCTTCTACTTAGGAATATGTAATAATCTAAGAAAACATTTAGAGCTGACATAGATAGGAACTTTGAAATTAAACTAACACTTACAAAGTAAGCCTAATATAAGTAAATCTATACTCAAGACAAATGTGGAGACTGACTCCATTTTGTAGAAGTGCCAAATAGGCTATATGCTAGACAGATGAAGCCGTATTGGTAGCTGCATGTGCAAAAAAATGCCTATATAGTATTGGCAGGTTAACATGACCTGTTTGATCTTGAATATTTAAGCAGTGAAACCAAAAATCTGTGTGTGCACCTTCTTTCATTATAGGTCTATTGTAGCCCTTAGTCTTTGACTGTGTCCTATTAGGTTGTGTCTCCTGAAGGATCATGTGCCTGTTTCCTCTGCTTTGTATCCCCAGGACCTACTTAGTGTGCTTCCTGCTGTATAAAAGTCCATTAAGTGTTTTGAATAAATGAATAAATCTTGAATATTTAAAGTTCACTTGATAAAAAGGGAAGTTTAGCATAACTATACCACTTAAAAATATATCTTATTTCCCAGCTGAAGACTGAGTAACATATTCCCTTTGATTTATTTTACTATGTCCAGCTCTGATTCTAAAGAGAGAACATGGTTCTTTAGATGAACTAAAGTAAATCTAGACACTGATACACTTTTTTCTTTTTTCTGTGCCTAAGCAAATCTAAACTGCAGGAAAATTCCTGTGCCCGAAGTATTCAGATCCCTGCTAATGGATCAAAAACAGCTGTGTCAAAATGTCCAATATTTCCAATGGCCAGGAGTATTAGTACTTGTGGCCCCTTGGATAAGGAGGATACTGGAGGAAAGAAGCTCATTTCTACAGGCAGCCTGCCAGCTACTTTACAAGGAGCTACAGTATGTATTTTTGGTGTTTTTTCTAATTTTGAAATTGATCATTTACATATGATTTTGTTCCCTTTGTCCTAAATAGCCTAATTAGCTTCAATTTTATTATTACCAAGAAGAATCTCTTATCTCATGATATAATTATATTACCTCTCTACTCATTATGAAGATCATTGACAAGAAATTTTTTTTTTTTTTTGAGAGACGAGATCTTGCTCTGTTGCCTGGGTTTGGGGTGTAGTGGTATCATCATAGCTCACTGCAACTTTAAACTCCTGGGCTCAAGGGTTCCTCCTGCCTCATACTCCTGGGTAGCTGGGACTACAGGCATATACCACTGCACCCAGCTAATTTTTTTATTTTTTGTAGAGATAGGGTCTCTCTCTG